TATTTTATACTGTAAAACCTTAACAGAATGTCTCTAATTTACATTCAATGTGGACCTCGATATAATGCCATCGTTTATCTACCGTTAACTTTGCTATAATGCTACTCGTTACATGTATATACAGTTAGATGCCCATATATATGATGACGTCGTTAATCTAAACAGCAAACTTCAATTTAACGCCCTTCGTGACATGTATACACAGAAAGACCTCGATATAATGCCATTCTGTTCATTGTCATCATGCTCATAGCTACCGTCTTCCGAGGTTTCCCGTTTTTTAAATTATAAACGCCTTTATGTATCAGAATTATATTAAATTCTATTGTGAATTCGTGACAGTATAAAGAGGTTTTAATTAAGTACTTTTCCATTGTTATTATTATTTATCGACGTTTAGGAAAATGGGAAACACCTTTTTACAGTTAACAACATTATAGTTATGTATTAGCATAAGTATTGTTTTCTTGATTACTTCTTTCCTTCACCAAAGTGTTTAAGTATTAAAATTAGTGATAAGATATTATAATTTTATAAGTTTGTCTTATACAACGAACGGTTTACAAAACATTATGTTGCACAATTAGTGAAATCAACATTATATGTAAAATGGTAATCCATTGCATTTAAAAAAAAAAGTGAAATAAATCCTGCATATATATAATGCTTGTTATATGCGTACACTTTGATTTGCACGTACAGATAAATGTAGCGAGACCTACAGATAATGAGATCTGAATCTGTAGGCGCTGATGAGTTGTATGTTCAGGAACGACCTTCCGAAAACCAAAACATTCATCTTCTTTACCTTAAATACCTAAAAACGAACATTAAAATCAAGTATATTTTCACAATTTACTTATTCTGAAAGCAAAACATACATGCTCTTGAATTAAAAACCATTTCCTTGACTTATATAAACAAACATACCTATTTTCCTGTCGTTTTTTTTTGTTTTGGAAAGATACATTTGCATTTCTTATTTAACGTTGGATTGAGCTAAAGAAGCGTTAAAACACTAGGTCGAGGACGCTAACATCATTTTACTTAACCCAGAACTATAAAGCCGTTTACGCCACTTTCCAGATGCTGACTTACCACTTGTTACGGTTCCGGTAAATAACCAAGTGTGTAATGTAAACAATGTATGATATTGTTTACCAAAGGGTACGAGTGTTTCTCTGTCAAAATGGCAACCTTAACTAAAGCGAGGATGTAGATTTAATATCGCAGGCGCCTGCTGCCTGTACGATAAGTACAGTATTAGATCATCGTGTGTTTTTTTGCATGAAGCTGCTTAAAAACAATTCATTTACAATAATAAAGCTAAAATGACGCCACACACTAGCAAGGCCCAGATGAATACAACGTAAATTTGTTAGATATCGTTTAATATAGTTTCACAACTTACTTGATACATAATTCGCGTTTTGTTACTATGTCAATACGACAGTATATGTGACAGTTGTGTTTCCTGGTGTTATATGAATATCGGCGGTTTTGTTTTATGCCCTTTTATGTTCGTTGTGGTTTCGTTGTCACTACTTCGATTCTCCTTTCGAGAACGTTACACTACAGACTTGTGACCTATACATGGACATCGCGGGTACTTACGCTCCCGGAAAGCATGGTCCTATCCTCCTGGTGTTCTTTCCAAAGACATCTGTTTAATGTGTCGCTAAACCAGCCATGCAGTTATTTCTTTCTCTCTTCACCAATGTGAATATACGCTGTATATACATTATATTACTAGTTGTGTGTAAGTAGCTATACATATAATCATTGTATGGGGTATTGGTATTTTGTAATTTCATTAGCCAGCGCACGTATTTGATTGTAGTCATGTCGTGAACTTTTCGTAAATATTTCATATAAACACGTAAATGTTACATATACACTTGTATAAGATCTACAAGTCAACTGCGATATATTTCAGTTCAAAGAAAGATCAATAACAAAGCTTACACAACTAGCACGTTTAGTGTTCATCAGACAACATTTAACATCTCTTTGGTCGTTAGTGACCTAGATTTGACGGGGACATCATATTGGATAGCACATATATCGCAAGGAACGCTTATCCTTCCAGATCGCCTGGGCCCCGTATTCATGAAGCCGTTCTCGTGCTCAAGCATGGATTCTGTGCTCAAACCTACTTTCTTGCCGCTGGTTTAAAATCATGTTACACGGTCAAAGAGTCAAGTTTACACATAGAAAATGGTATTCAGCCAAAAGACTCTCAAGAATTCTTCCAGATCATTGAAAAAATGTAAGTTTTCATAAATTTATCACTTGAATAAGAAATTGGGCTTGAGCAGAAAATCAGACTTTGAGCATGGGAACGGTGTCTTGAATACGGGCCCTGGTTTTGATCCCGGTATCGATATTGATTTTCAAGATGTCCTCCATTTTACTTGCGGTATACTGCGGTGGCTATTGCTGTCTTTCGTCTAGACCCTGAGTCCGGATAGTGGGTTAATACTGTGGTATGTTTTGGGCCTGTGTACTAACGTTGTGCAATGACTAGTGTTCGTTTGGTGCAAATCGTGCTATAGTCTGTTTTTCAACTGTAGACATTTTAAGTTGTAAATCACAATTCTATATTAATTCTTAAGGATGACAGGTTATATTCATAATTATGTCAAATTCATAAACATTACATACGGATGCATCGTAATTAAACACCTGTGTTATTTTCGTACTGATACATGTATCAAATCACTTACGCAATCAGAATACATTTCAATTAAAAAATAATCACCTGTTCTCGAAATAGAGTAACATCTCATCCGTGATAGGCAAGATACACACATCGTGACTATTTGTTTTTTCGGGTAATAGTTGTTCCCTGTGTCATGATATCATGACATTTTCCCGTTGTATTTGTTTCTAAATTTGTTTGAAATAAACACCCTGCTATCTACAAAGAAAGCTGTATGTTCAAAATCTCTAAAGACATCTGCAACAAACTGTCATTCGTAGAATTGCAAAGGTTCAAAGCAATATAAAGCATAACGTATTTCTTTAGTATCAAAATAAACCCCCATGACATATCTATTGCTGTATCCAATGTCAAAGGTCTCCGTGTAAATTGTTTGTCTTTTTTAATATTTTGTCATATTTTCATCGATCTTAAAGTTGAATTACGATTCGTTTGAACCTTGATATTCTCTTGTTGGTTGATAAATGTAAGAGTTTATAAACGACTGTCATTAAATGGAAAGCGGTTGACAAGTTGTACAATGGTTGATGAAACATTTTTATTTTCTTCTCTCAGTTATATGAAGAGCCAACCACCAACCATGTCTTTGAGATACGCTCGCCTTTAGTTCTATGTACATATCTGTAAGACTGTGATTGTGTTAACTATTGACATTGAAGATTCAAAATAAGTTGTTAATTAATGTAAAGAGTCACGTCATTGTTTAACCGTTTAAAGGTATCAAAAAGTAGTCATTTTCCTGTTAAATTTATGTTATGTGTTTTACATCAAACAAAATATATTATGTGTAGAGTAATGGAACGGAAACTTTTAATCAGAAAAATGCCGCAAAGACAGGACTCTTTTTCGTTCCAGATACACCAAGTATCTCTGAGACTCGTTTCCTTAAGTAATATAGAAATCAAATGTAACACATCTTCGATACACAAGCGCAAATTTTGTATTCAAAGTAAAAAAAGAAGAAGACAAAAACCGGGGACCAGGTGACCAATAAAGAAGAAAAACGCTACACAAATCCAAACAGAAAACCCTTGCTACGTCATGAGAACGCTGTCACTCCTCAAGATTAAGTTTTTTCTCCGTTCAAATATCTCCTTGTTCTTTTTAAAAAGATGTGTTACGTTTAAATTTAATTATTATGTTCTATAAATTCAACAGTTACTTTACACACTGATCCACAATTGATATTCAGGTTTGAAATCTTTATGGCACGCGTTCTCTCTGACATCTTACAGAGTTGCCATGGCCTGAATAAAGAGCTTGTTATCAATACTAAATGGAAAATACATTGTCATAGATTGGTGTTAGTTTAAAGCTTTACTACATGGTACGCTATATGCCTATTCTACTAAACAACTGATAAAATATGACGGGATAAATATTATACCTGGTGTGGACGTGTGTACGGACCCAAACGAATCCAACGAGTAATCGATCAAAGGGTCCCGACCAAGCGTCACATTCTAAATATTAATACACACAACAATTTCACGTCTCTGTTTGTTAGCCTACAGCACGTGCGCACTGTATAACGGCAAAGCAGCGTCCTCTACAATCTCCCGTTCCAAACAATTATATCCCACTGACATAATGTCAGATGAATCGTAATTGAACCATTAACAGTCGGACAATTCGAACTATCATAGGTGAATTATAAGGGTCTTTTAATGGCAGTATTAAACGCATCAGTCGGGTAGATTTGTTGTTCGGTTTCACTTTCGATGAACATCCACATAATTACACGTTATTAGTTAAACCGGTGATCTACCCAGATGCAAGCCGTTTTTACCCCGCACATCCCATGTCGCGATAAACCACGAGTGTGAATGTAATTTGGTTGACAATATATGACAAAAACGTCGTTTAATAAATTGATATTTACATGATTTTTCTAACCCGTATTCAAACCAATAGGCGAACATATGTTAAACATAAACCCAATTTTCCCTATCACATTGTTTGTGTAAATTGTGCGTGTTTTATCTTCAACAGTGGTAACTAGTTTCGACATATAATATAAAAAAAATTGTACGGTAGAATTATGTTTCTAATCGATAGAACAGCCATAAGCTTCGTGTCAATATTACCCACCCTTCCAACCCCTGTAAATGTACCAATCGGGTGAAGATGCGGTGATACTTGATGCTAAAATGTTATGCAAATTTTCTAGGTTCATTATTAACGGTTCCGTCCATCGTCAATTGTGAAATAGTTTGTGGAGGAATATATTATATATCTCTCTCTTAATGCGCCACCCCCTTCTAACAAGCCATAGAATGAAAGCACTGGCCTGATGGTGTCGCCTTACGCTGGGTATATAAGTCCGCGAGGGACTCAACAGGCCAGTGTGTGTAGGATTTTCTAGAGGTATATACGGTCAAGAGGAACTAGGCGCTTTACTGCGGAGGGGAGGAAACTTAACATCTCTTGTTCCGCATCTGTATTATGACATAACGTTTCTCGGCGAATATTGTGTGTAGTGTAGGTGAAATATAATTTCAACTCGACTACATCAGCTAGAAGAAAACAAAGTGTGGTTACGTACACAACATCACAGGAAGAAATACATACGTTGTAAGTATTATTTTATTTTTAGTATCTTTATACTTTCGTTTTTGTTGCTGTTGTTTACTGCTACTGCTGCTGTTTTAATTTAATGCTAGCAAGATTTAACACAAGTTATTATCTATATTAATATAACTGTTACCATATTATATTCATATTATAACATTTCCGTTTCGTATGTGATCGTTTTTCCATCTGTTGGTGTAACTAGTGTATACATGTACAGTCTTACGTATAGTGCTGAGGTTAAATGTCACCACGACTGGAGAGAAACGGAAGATGATTTAGGAAAGTAATACGCTTTTGCGGTTAGCTTACATGTACAGTGTATGCGTATCTATTTCAATACGTTGATAGCTTTTTAAATGTCAGTTATTATAAATGTATTGTCTGCGCTCGCGATCCCATTTCTGCTTGTATAATCTATTAACACTATACGATGTATCGCATTTGAACTTAATTGATATTTGTTGCCTTTCTTATTGTTGAAAATATATTGATTTCGCACGCTTCCCATAAAGTAACAATGCCAGTAACATCTCCTATATGAACAAATTATGTACAAAACGCTCGATAGGGGTTCCATGGGCGCTTATACATAAACATGTATCTACTATCAGTATGAATATAATTAGTTTAAAGTTTGATTCATGTTTCAATTATCCGGAAATATTCGATATTCCGGAAATTTATCCGGAAATATACGATATTCCGGAAATTTATCCGGAAGCCAACTTTCCGGACAAGCGTTCTCTTCAAGGGCAGAATTGTCTAGAGGTTAAGTCTTCAACGCAAACGACCATGGTTCGATTCCGTTTCGGGCGTGAAATTTATAGTATTATTACGCACCATATAACTAATTTTGGGTTCTTCGCTAATCAAACAAATCGGACAAAACTCAAATCAATGGGTGCGGTATAAAGGTAACCTTGTAAAAAGCCTTTATACATCACTGTAGGAGACGGCTACGGACGCTTGAGATGGCGTTTACTTCATTTTTAAACGATTTAACTTATGGTGTTAATTGTTGAAATTTTCACGGGGTTTTTTTCGGTGGTGGAGGTGTTGCATTTTTGGGATTCTTGAAAATATAGATAATAATACAAAACACCACCGTTTTTAACTAATGTCCATCAATGTATCATTCAAATAGCTTTCAAATAAGAATGTGCATCAATTTGTATCGAATATAATTGAATTTCTTTTCTAAAGAAGTGGAATTATGTAAAACGGGTGCTGATATGGAAACAATTTCCTTTGTGAAATAACTGACATGAACCAAATTCCAGTGGAAACATTTAAAACGCATTCCACATGTAATGTATAACCCATAACTCAAAAATGATTCAATCCCCCCATCAGCCATTGGCATTTCAAACAGTAGGCAACACACTTTCCATAATATTCATTATAAACTTGATAACGCAATGTTAGCTATAGGGAATCCCGAAGAGCGACAAGTTGGCTGTTATGCCAAAAACGATATCACTTTTTCATGTGGAAGTGGAGTTATTTTAGGGTTGTTGTCGGTTTAATTTTTGCCGACCATCATGTCTGATGCGATGTCAATTACAGAGCTCGTCCCACATTCATTTAAATAGGACGATTCGCTAGGCCAAAAGTGTAAACGATCTCAATATCACTGCAACTGCATGGCTATTGAGGTTGTGAACATTGACTCGATTCTGCCTTGGTTTGTCCTATTTGTTTGCGTCGAATTCCTGCTTGCTTTAGGATAACGTATACTTGTTTTCGTACTGTCGAGTACCATACTTAACTGTCATTCTGGAGCTAATCATATTTAACTTACGGCAATAGTTTTCCTCACTTGACCGGTAGTTTATACCTTATACTTTACCGACAGTATAGAAATTACCATTCTTTACTGACAATTTATATCTTACCGTTCCCTACTGATAGTTTGGAGTTTACCATACTTTACTGACAGAGTACAGTTTACCATACTTTATTGACAACTTTGAGTTTACCATACTTTACTGACAGTTTAGAGATGACAATATTTTACCGACATTGTAGAAGCGAACGCACAACTATCCCTCATTAATGAGATATTCCTAATACATCGTTATCATTATTAAATGAAACCTTGAAACCTCGTTATTTCGAGGTTCCTTGAACCGACTATCGGGGAACTGTCGAGATAAAGAGGTATCCCTGATAATTGCTCAATAAGTCTTTATTATTATTAAATGAAACATTGGAACCTCGTTATTTCGAGGTTCCTTGAACCGATTGTCGAGATAAATGAGGTATCACTGATAATTGCTCAATTCATCCTGCTAGTTCAGATAAATGCACTACTAACAGCGTCTTGTTAATAGCTAAGGTAATTATAAAAGTAATTCGAGATTTCTGAGGTGTTCGTAATAGGAAGATTTCGTTCACTTTCATTCTTCATCCATGATCTACGATAGTTTTAAAGGTTTACAATTTCCTGTTGTGGCATGTAATGCAAAGCAACTGGCTCCACCACATACGTATATCCGCATAGCCTGTGTTTAGATATCGCTCTCTCGCAATCACCGCTGCTTCGTAATCAGTAGTTTTACGCTTGCCAGAAATATATCATCAATCTTCTTGGACATTAAAACTTATATCTGTGTATGAAAATGTTATACAATACATTTTAAGTAACGTTTACTATCAAATTGGTAAGTTTAGGGGTGTTCTTTCCCCTTGAAGTAGGTTACTGCATTATTGGTAATTTAAGCGATGCTCATATTTTCTCTTTTCCACTTTAGATAGGTTACTGGCAAACTGGTAGTTTTTGCGGTGATACTATTTTTCGTTTGTTTATGCACCCGCTTAAAGAATTATTTTAATCTTAAAATGATATGTATGAAAAAGGGCTTTCGAATAAAAAGAATCTAGTCAGAATCCTTAATTTTCTCGTGGCCTTAAACAATACGTTCATTAGTGAATAATCACTTAATAGCACTGACAATCAATAAGTATGTTGTATTTGTCATTTGGTGATTTTAATGATTAAACGTCCGTCGTATCGTTATTTCTATGTATTTTTATCCGTAGTTCTCCCTGACTATTCTCGCTCTATTCTCCCATCGTAGCGCTCTCTCACAGCCAATGACTATACTAAAAATATGATAGTATTAAATTCACACAGGCTGCCTTCGCCAGCGCGCTTTCAAACTAAACAATTCATACTCTAGCAGTCGTTATCTATTCTCACTCTTCATACTGCAGTCATACTCACTCTCTTCCATTCCCACTGGACCGTCCTTTATCTAGCTCCTTCACGCTGTTCAATTCATACCCTATAACTACACTGTAGTACAGAACGGTTGGTGGTTGTACAAATGCTTCATAGTGCTGACTCAAAGTCTTCAATTTTTACTGGGCCGTCTTCTCCGTCACTCTCTCTCTCTCTCTCTCTCTCTCCCTATCTCTCTCTCTCCATTTCATCATATTACTTCACCAAAGAACTCTACGTTTGTCATAGTACTACATGTAGCTGATTGTCTTTAATTCTTACCAAACCTTCTTCATTATTGCTTTCCTAAGATTATTCCATTCATACTCTTTGCGTCATATCATGTTTTAGTTATTTGTTGTAAACCTTTTCCTTGTGCTTGCTTGACGTTTTCAATTCGTACTAAAACTCGTCGTCAAAATTTGCTCTCTATTATACTCATTAGTACTACCCCAGCCCCTGCGTATTTTATGAAGAATTTACCGACTGCTTTTTTTACTACTAGCTTATCCCCCCTCCCTAGTGTAGAACTAAGTATCGGACATCAAAGTGATCAAAATTATAAAAAGAATATTTTTTTAAGTTATTCAATATTTTAGAGATAAGGGGTCAGTCTAACTCTTCAGTACAAACTCATCGTAGTATTAAACCGTCTACTGCTATCCAGCAGTTAATAGCATAGCTCCATTACTGTAATATCTGCCAGGCTGTCTGTGTACTCCAGCATGTCTGTAGCGCTCTCTCACAGTAGTAAATTTACACTGTATTGCACACCGTACGTGAAAGTGTTAGCGTCGCTCGCCAGCCTTTCCTATACGCGCGTGACTGGAGGATATAAACACACAGTTGCATAAACACTAGGGCACACCTGTCAGTGGATGTTTTTTTATGGTATACATGAGATTATGTAAGAACTTACAAGATATACCCTAATTGAATACGTTTTTACCACCTAAACAAAAAGTCTTACTGAAATTGATTGCATCGAGAGAAAAACATGTTTTCTTTGGAAAAGAACGGTATGCAAGACCAATAAATGCGATAACGAATATATGCAAAGTTCATGACCTACTTAGCAATACAGATTATAACGCATTTTCAAATATGGGTCACATTATTGGTGAAGGTCATGGGCAAACATGCAGGCTTGATATTCTCTGTACACATAGGAAATAATTTGCCCTTTACAGGTAAAGTTATATGTTTTCATAACGCAGAGCATTCTTGGCAAATGTTGAACTGCAGCTAGTATTTCTCGGTTTACACATAACTGATGGTGGTCATGTTATTATGAATAGAAAAAAAAGGCCAACAGCATACCAAATTTGATCTATGCCTTATACTCAAAGCGTCCCTATCCTTTTTTCTGGTAAACAAGTTTCATTATTTCATCATAATGTAGAAAATTCATTGATACAAATTTCTGTTCTGACTGGATTTTTTTTGAAAATGGTGGAAGTTCCGCAAGCACGCAGACCGCTTCATATATCAAATACGATAACAAATCTTAGGTATATAACATTATGATCAAGCGCTTTCATTGAATATGGCACCTACCGAATAGTAGAGTATTCCCAGTGTTTTATAGAAATCAATAATTGATATTTATATTACATAATTGTTATAAAAGTGAAATAAGTATCCATGAAATTATTCGTATATATTTCAGGCAGAGCTCGGTAAGAAATATTTTCAGAATAATGTATTTCCGGATATTCCGATATATTCAGATTAACATAAATCCCCCTTTTAAAGATCAGGACAATCGTTAAATGTC